AAGGGAAGTCTCTGTGCTACAAGATGCCAAGGGCTTTGTGTGCAGAGCAGACTTTAATGGCACTACATAGGAATACTGGTTTTCAACCTTGGCTTTGGCTGCCAATTGAAATCATCTGAGAGAGGTTTAAAACTGCCTAAGCTGCTTTTGGGGTAAGTCTGGACATAAAGACTTGTAAGTGCCCAAAAACACCACGTCTCTGCAATCAGTTTCTAAGGTCCTAAAGATGGTGACGGCCTTTTATCAGGTTTTGCTTTTAGGGTATGGATGAGCATTCTCTTTATGACTGAACAACCTTCAGAAGACCCTCGTTGATGAGCTCGTGTCGATGCCCAGTGTAAAAACCAGGGTGAGGGGATATAGGAAGTGCTGACAGTTTTCTAAATGTGCATTTTTGGCTTTTGTTTTATTTTTGTTTATTTGGGTTTGGCTTTTTGTTTGTTTGGTTGGTTTTGGTTTTTGTAGACAGGGTTCCTTGTGTAACAGCTCTGACTGTCCTGGAACTCACTTTGTAGACCAGGCTGGCCTCGAACTCACAGAGATCCGCCTACCTCTGCCGCCCAAATACTGGGAATAAAGGCATGTGCCACCACCCCTCAGCCTCTAAACGTGCTTTTTAAAAAGATAAATAGTCAGTAATAGAATTTGTAATGGAAAGGAAAGTTTTCGGCTTCTGGAGCTGTAGATGTGGCTTAATAGTATACTCCTTACCTAACATATATAAGATCCTAGGTTCAATGCCCACTGTGGAAAAAAATAAAAAAGAAAGAGAGAAAAATAACACAGTTACTTAAATCATTGACATCACTGCACAATGAAATCCTACAACATAAAATTGTGGCAAATTATAACTAAATGTGAAACTCACAAAGAGTGTAAGTTTTAGAAAGATAAATGGATACAGTAACCTTTTACTAAACACTGTGGCTAAAGCTGTGTATTCAAAGGCTCTTCAGAGTCAGGGTGAGTGGTGCTCAGATGTTTTGGACTAGGATGGAGAACCAGAAGAACAGCATTTCCTTCAGGCAAGGGGAGCTTTCTCATTCTCAGTGGTGTTTATTTCTGTGGGCCTTGCGTAGCCTGTGGGCCATAGCCTCACAAACATTCCTAGAACAAAAGCAATACTTCATCTCATGTTTCTCAGTGTCCTTTTTGTTAGCTGTGTAGTCATAATGTAAGAGCACAGATGTGTGGTGCATTTGTGGAAGGAAAATTTATATTGTCTGAGTCTCTTCTGGGGCATGTCTGCTATGTGGGACCCAGGTTTGCCTAAGATATTGCTTGAGGAACTGGACTTGTTAATCCTCTTCTTAAACGTGACAAGGTAACTCAGGAAAAAGAAGTGAATTCGTCCCCATATTTCCACATGAGCTCCTGCTGTTGTGTTTCTCGGAAAGACTGGGGCAGATGACAGGGTGATCAGGTAGGCGCTCCAGACTCCAGCATGTTGGGCTTGAACTTGCTCTCTGAGATGTATGAAAAGAACCATAAAATAAATATGCTCCATTACTGCCCTACAACATATCCAGAAACATAATAAACACCACAGAAGTGTGCTTTATGCTCAAGTCAGTCATTTTCCATATTTTATTATGTATTACTGTTTCTTTTTGTTTAAAGCAAAGAAATGAGCCCACTGATGTAGACTGAAGGAAAATGAAACATGTTTTTCTTTGAGAATGGGTGTGTGTATGTCTTTAAATTTGAGTATATTGATCAATTATATATATTCCACACAGAAAGATTCATTGATTTTCAGAAATGGCTTGGGGTGAGAAAGGGAACGAGGAGTAAACCAAGAGCACAAGGTCGCAGAGCGCCGACTTCAGCACAGATAGGAGTTAGGCAGCATGTTTATTAAATGCAAATAGAGGCCCTGAAGGTCCTGGTAGACTAAGATTCTGCATTTTTCACACTTCTGGGTGTTGCTGATGCTGCTGTTTCAACATTTCACTTTAAGTGGTAGAAAGAGAAACACCAGAAGTATGGCTGCAAGTTTGGCTGCGTGTTGGAATGAGGCAGAGTGCCTTAGAAATGAATGGCCTGGTGCTACCAACAGGGATGTAGTTGTCTGAGAAGGGGTCCTGACTTCAGGAATGCGCATGAGCAGGGTTATTTCTTACCATTTAGTGTGCCTACAAGAGATAATTCTCACATTTGTGAAGATTTTTTGAAAATCCAGATTGGTAGAAAAAAATAACAGGAATTAAAGCTTCACACACTCAAAAGTAACATTTTGTTGATGAATTTAAAATGAATGTGTTGTGTCTTGTAGTCTTTAAGAGAAAGTAAAGAGAGTGGGCCTTTAAGATTACATATTAACAGTCATTCACACATTGTTTACTCAGGTGCTCCTTTTTGGATATAGGATGATAACACAGGTGAATCCTGCCCATGTTGCTATTAACTTTTCAAATGTTACAACTGATCAAATGTGGTGGAATAAGGTATTTCTTTTGTCTCAAAAAAAGAAAGGCAAATTACTTTCAAGGCAGCTGATTTAGCTCTTCCCATGCCCTACAAAGACTGAATTGGAGACATATTTTCCTAAAATCATTTTGCTTACTGAGTGTTATGTTTCTGCAGCATACACTCATATTCCTTGTATTGTATCATACACCCGGTTGGTGGGGAGGTCACCCGAACCAGCTGTCACTGTCTGTTCAACCATTGGGGTTTACATGAAAGGTGCTCTAATGCACTTTTATATTATATTGAAAGACAGACTTTGTAATATGTAAGAATGGGTCTTGCTTTCAAATTTTTACCTAATGAGTAAGTGACATTGGGCAAGCTAAAGTTACTTGGCCTCTTTGAGTATGTCTCTCCTTCCTACGAAGAAGAGATAATGCCACATAGCTCCAAGTCCAATTGTAAAAACTGAACATGGGGGAAACCACCACTAATCATCTCACATATAGCAAGTGTTTAATCCATATTAATAACTAGAAGCTCCGTTAGATCATTTATAGCCTGTCGTATGTCTTTTTACACCTGTTATTCTGAAGTAAGAGGCTCACTTCGGTTAATCTACTTCCCCTGCTTTCCCCCATGGGGAATTAGTGGTTTCTTGCATTCTAAGTCAGGATAGAGGCACAGATAGATCTGTGCACCCATCCTCATTCAGCATGGTCCATTCTGAAACAGTCCTCACAACTCCATAGAGTGAAACCATAATGGCCACAGTCAGCCACTGTATCATTCCACCCTCGAGTTGGTTCTCAATTCTCTACTCTACTCCCAGTGTTTGTGATCTCAGTTGCTGTCTTAGTCAGTGTCCTATTGCTGTGCAGAGACACCATGACCACAGCAGCTCTTTTTAAGGAAAGTTTTTATTTGAAGCTGGCTGACAGTTTCAGTTGTTTAATCCATTATCATCAAGGCAGGAAGCATGATGGCACACGGGCATACATGACGTGGTGACATGGTACTAAAAAAGGAGCTGAGAATTCTACCTCTAGATAGATCCATAGTAAACAAGAAAAGAGAGCCATTAGGCCTGGCTTGAGATTTTGAAATCCAAAGCCCAGCCCCAGTGACACACTTCCACCAACAAAGCCACACCTACTCCAACAAGGCCACACCTCCCAACCCTCCTTAAGTAGTGCCACTCCCTGATGACCAAGCATTCACACATATGAGCCTATGGGGGCCATTCCTATTCAAATCACCATAGTTACCAAAAGAAACTACTCTACTGTGGGGGAACCCAGACTATGATGTAAAGATAACAAGCGAAGGATTTGAAGAACAACGTTTGAGTCCTATCCGCTACCTGCTAATCAGATGGTTGAATTCTGTCTCATGAATCATGTGGTGCTCCTTTCCCCTAAAAAAATAATTTTTCACTAAATGAATAAAGGAACAAGCTGAGCTGTTTACACAGTCCTCCATGATGCCTGGGAAACGAAGGAGCAGTCTTGAAGCCAATAATAGTTAAGGTCCAAGAACAACTTTCCATTTCAAACTGACTCTAACCTCAAGCTGGTCTGGGTGACCTAGGTCCACCCACCTTGTGCGGCAAGCAGGAAGAATAATTCTATAAACTTACTGACAGTGAGTAGGAAGTCTGCTTCAAGATTAGTTTCTTGAGTAAAACTGTTCAGTGACTGTGTTGGTATCGCAGTGATGTCGAGAACAAAGAAAACGGCCAAGTAGATCTATGATGAAATCTGTTTCCACCAAGTCCGCAAAACTTCCTTAAAAATATTCTACTTTCTTTGGAATTTGTTCAGAATATTATTTTATATTTACTTAATAAATGTTTAGTTTATCTTGGATCCCACTTGATTACCAGCACTATGTAATTTTTTGAGGTTTTTTTTTCTTATTTGTTGTTGTTGTTTTGGGTTTTGTTTGGGGGGAATTGTTAGCTTTTGGCTAGAAATCCTCACACTACCTCCACTCTGAGATGTTCTACCCAAACTGTCATATTTTCCAGGAATAATATAATGTTCAAGTCTCATCGAATTGACCCAGCCAAATTAGTCCGGTGGGAAAATGTAGAAAAATAGATATGATGCTTCAATATCCAACAAAGAATTCACATCTTTCTGGAAGGGTACAGCTGTTAAGTATGTCTGGTTTTGTTCTGACTATGGACCCACATGTTTCCAGCCACTTGACTGGCAGGGGAACTGATGCTCCACAGACAGGATCAGAATTCAGGTAGAGAGTTTAAAGGTAGATACTTCCTAAAAGCACCTTGGTTTCTTTTCTCAAGTCACAGGAATGTTTGCTTCTGGCCTCTTGAGAAATATTTAGTGACAATATAAAGCACATTCTCGAGGTGCAGAGGAGATACTGTTTTTGAAAAGGAAATGTAAGGTCTTATTAGGGCAAGGCTGTTAATTACACACTTCATTATTGTCAAGGTTAATACAGACAGCGAGAACAGGGGCCCTTTTTCATCAGTTCCCCGGGAAAAGGGGGAGACAGCTGTTCCCCTGGACAGATCCATTAGCGCTTATCACCAGCCACCAGCCTGCACAAGCAGCACCATGAAATATGGCCGCTGTCACCAGGAGCCAGAACAGATGCCAGCCAGTCCGGGTTACAGCGGAAAGACAATGAGAACTCCAGCGTCAGATGCAAATAGATCGCTTGCATTGATTTTTAATGCTTGGAGGTTCCGCAGCATAAAAGATACCGATACTCTTGTAGTTATTCTATCATTGATCTCTCTGAAATTACACAAATCTCACTTAAAATAAACATCATAAGCTGAGTATAATAAATAACAGTTCCTCTATGTGATGCCTGGTTAAGTCACATTGGACAATTCTCTGTGTTTGAATTTCGTTATTGTTGCTTTGATGGTTATGATTCTATAAGGAAAAGCAAGTCAGCAAAAGTAATATGGTTTGCATTCATTTAACTGGATGTACTGATCAAAAAGGCTTTTGCTGTTTTATTTGTGTGTGTGTGTGTGTGTGTGTGTGTGTGTGCGTGTGTGTGTGCATGTGCGTGTGTGTGTGTGCTGGAAAGTTATTTGAAACCAACATTTACACTTTGTGAGCCTCCTGCTTATTAACAATGAATTAGGAGTTCAACTGAAACAAAACACCATGTGTTTCTGTTTAAAATGATTTGCATACTTAGTCAAAATGGTTATTAAATTCTGAAAAAAATATATCCAAGAAAAGAAAATCCCTTAGTTAGAGCATGCTTTACTTTTCTAGCTTTTTAATCGCTTGTTATAGTCTGTGTTCTTCCCATGACTAAATCAATCTTTTTCCTTTCAAATATCAATAACTACATGTTCACTTGGGTTGTACCTAGGTTTCACTAATCTATAACATGAAGGATTATTACAGCTACATAGCAAGACTATGATGCCAAGAAAGCGAGCAGAGCTGGGATAGCAAGCTGACCTGACTGGAAAAGTCTAAGTCTTAGAGATCATCATTTGCTAAAGCATAAAATGAGTTTCACCTTCATAGTGGATGATAAAGTGTTGAACAGTACAGCTCCCCAAACCAACTGTAATACACACACACACACACACACACACACACAAAGAACAGTGTATGTCTGTGTTCACAAAATGCTGGATTCTGTTACACTGAAAAGCATACCATCTACATTTTCATTTTTCCTGAATCCAGAAACTCTAGAATCTAGAATGTATGTAATTGTGTTTTGTGCGCAGTGTGAGCTACAGGGCAACAGCCATGCCACCCGCCTGACCTTCTGAGCATTTCGGCCTCTCAGGGTCTCTCCAAGTCTATTGTATCTGAATCTTCTTTCCCAGCACCTTGGGCTGACTTGTGTAAACATTACCGTCTGAGAAACCCCTGAGCCTGAATGCTCCCACTGAGAAAATGTCTCTGTCAGTGTCTACTATATTTCTGCTAGACTTTCATTTTCATGGCTATCTTTCTGTTTAAATCTTGAAAGTCTAACTGTGCTAATTTTCTGATTTATACATTACAGTTTTAAGAAGGAGATCAGTACAATGCTGATCATGATTTTTTGTTTTAATAAAGAGCACTTGTTTACGTAGCAATTATAGTTCATTTGAAATTAATCTTCCCTTTAGATTTAAAAAATTTAGGGTTTGTATCATAAATTACTAATAGTTTTGTTTTCTACTTATATCCCATATATGCAGCTGCAGCTAAACTTCTATGATGTGTAACTTCTTTCCCAAATTTTCAGCTTAACTTAAAATTTTACTGAGGAAATAGTTAAATAAGAATTTTCAAGTACTTAACTAGTACTTTCTATGCCAAGAATCATGTCAACCAACTTATACATATTATTAAATATAAATAAATTGCTATCTTAATCCTAAAAGTATTGATTCTTACTATTCCATAGATTAAGAAACCATACCCACAAAAATTTAAGCAATTCTCCTGATATCACATAGTTTAGAAGTGCAAGTCCAAGTTTTAAAATAAAAAGCAAAAAATTGCACATTGTTTTTTTAAGTGTTATATAACTTTGCATAGGGAGATGTAAATAAACATCCGCCCAGATCGTGCACCAACTACAAAGCAAGGAGACCATTCCGTCCACATCAGGGTTGGCGAACCAATGAGTCTAACTGGGTTAGTTACAGTGTAGGTGCAGGGCTACACACAAGTACAGGGGCAAATGTAGGCAGCCAAAGACTTTCCGCACCCCAGCAAAGTTAACTGCCTATCTTCAGGGATGGCGCCAGGCCTCCTGTGCTGTCTTGGGTACAGCACTCCAAGTCTTCCATAAGTAGGCCTAGTGCTAGGGTCTCAAGTGGGTAACCACAACTGTTGGGGCTTCGAGGAGGTAATGTACATGTCTGTGCCTAGAGAACAGAGTGGACAAGAGGCCTTTTCCTCGAGTAGCATTTCTCTCATAGCCCTCTTAAGGTTACTCCTTTTACACCAACAAGCTGATGGAATTCATTGAGTTTACTCCCAAAATTCATATGGGAAGTAAGCCTTTCTCTGGGTACAGCAGCAAGTACACAGAAATAGCAGTCTTGGCAGTTTAAGGCCACAAGTTAACTGTATGTAGCAGCAGTGACCTCTAGTATCTCACGGAAATCGATTATACTAAAGGGAATACAGGAAAAATACGTCAGTTGGAAGATCAGGAGAACAGGAAGTTAGAAATGTGGTACTAGATTAGCCTCAGAGATATAAACATGCTTAATACACATAGAGATGGATAGATATTTAGGTTTCCCAGTGTTAGTATCCAAACACAGATTTTCTAGTTCTGCTCACCGGGAGCAGAATGCTCAGAATCCCAATATTCATGCCTTTTGCCATTGTAAAAAATCGGAAAGATAGCTTCTTGGAGAAAAGGCTCTTAAAGCAATAGAGGAGGGGGGAAAAGGCAAGATAAAGGCAGAACACTTTATGGTGATGGAGAATAGTGGTGTGCTTTATAATAAAAGGAAGTGAGATTGTCACCAATAGGAAAAAACATTTGGTGGCAAAAGCTCCAAGTGTTTGAATGACAAAACAAATGGCACAGAATTAAATCATAACTGAACATAAACAAATAGATAGATAGACATATAGGTGAATAGACAGACGAGAGAGAGAGAGAGAGAGAGAGAGAGAGAGAGAGAGGTGATACATAAGCCTCCTACACAGAACCCCAAATGGTTTATACAGATATGCCTTATGCAAAGACATGGAGCTCAACCAATCCTGCCACCCCTCTCTACTATGGTGGGCTGTGTGTCTTGCTAGGGGAGGGAAGGAGGGAATTGTAAAATAGATCTTAGACACGTGGCAAATACAATGTCACCTAAGTGACCAAGGTAACATTATCAGTAATAAACCATGTTGACAGTGTGCCCCAAATGCAGTATGATGTAACTGGCAGTTTACAGCCTTCCTCTCCAAAACTTACTACACAAGTTAAACATAAGGAAAACATCAAACAAATGCAACGGAAGGACGGTCTGAAAATACCCACTCATGCTCCTCAAAACTCACAAGGTTATTAGCAACAAGGAAAGTTTCAGAAACAGTCAAAGAGACTCAGGAGGCATAGTCAATAAACACTTATTTCTCGTGGGTAAGACTCCAGAGCCCTAGGAGAAAGCTGATCAGGGTGGCGTTTCACTAATTATGATCCAGGCTGTTAATACATGGAACACTGTGTAGGGGGTAGTTTGGAATATCCGACCAAATCTCTGAAATGTCACTGCTAAACTATTCTAAAATAAGTTTATTTAAAAGGGCATGAATAAAAAGAATTTCATCTAAGACAGTTTGGTAGAGAAAAATCTAAAACAAAGCTTTGTCTTTCAGCATGAAGTTTGAGGTACTAGTCTGTGCCTCCCAAGCTCTGGGACAGTTTGGTCTTTTTTTTACACCATGAGCTTTCCCGGTGTACTAACCGTGATGATTTTGAACTCCTTGCTACTTGCTCAAAAGTGTTTTTTTTTTCCGCTTAAAATCTTGATAGCCACCCTTTATTCTTTGTTCTCTTATCCACCCCCATATATTTCACTGCAAACTGTGCAGTGACAAGCCAAGACACAGATGACTGGCTTTGTAAGCGGTTTGCTGTTTCTTTCTGTTCCTCCTAGTCTGCTGTTATTTAGGTTTATTAAAGGGAACAGTCTGTCACCAAGAGCCAGACACGCGCACATCATTACCAAGCAAAACCACCAATTCAAAGAGAGTAGCACCCAGGTGTGGCCACTGCAAGGACTGTAGTTCATTGTGTTCATAGTTCATCCAATATCACATTGGATGGCAAAGTAAGCCAGATAATTAGTCTCCATGCTGTTCCATACCCAATAAGTTATCGCATTTGTATTTACTTATTGCATTAGACCATATTGTTTTGCAGATAAAAAATAAGCATGCACCTTCTTTTACAATTACTTTGAATTTAAACTTTGATAATTTCATCGATATGTACTGTAAATCTACTCTCCCTGCCTCCCTCTCTTGTCCCCTCCCTCTCCTGCAGACCCTTCATCCTCACCAGTAGCCCTTCACCTCTTCACGTCTTATTTTTGTGCATGTTGCCACAGCTGCTATGTATTCACTGTTGGGTTGGCCATGTCATTTCCAGAAGGCAGAACCAAGCAAACTTGGTAATAAGTTTCAGAGTCTTCCAGAATCTTCCATAAAAGTCATATAACTTTAGTCATATTTTTTTACCTGTGTTCATATTAAAGTGATGATGCTTATTGGTTTTATAAATCATTGGAATAGTGGATTTTAAAACAACAAACATGCTTTTCATAACCAAATGTTACAGACTGTTAAAATTTATATCCATCAGTTCATTGTTAGAAGGTAAAGGTTTACACAGGCCCTCAGGCTGAAATGTCTACAAATATTATATGCATATATGTGTATATGTGAGTGTAGATATAGATATATATGTCCCCAAACTGCTTTCCACCTGTTTGTATTCACACCCTTAGGCAAGTGTTTCTATCAGACAGACTTCTGCAGTAGGCAGTGGTTAACACAGACTCATGCTGATCAAAATGCTGGGAATATATGACTGTTGACTGCTTAGCCCTAAACAGGCTATCTACATTGTCCACTCTAAGAACCAGGGAACCTCCCAGAAAAGAAAATGGAGCGATGGTAAGGGCTGGAGAATAAGAAGGGGTGCTATGGAATGCTGCCTTCTGGAAATGACATGGTCAACCCAACAGTGAATACATAGCAGCTGTGGCAACATGCACAAAAATAAGACGTGAAGAGGTGAAGGGCTACTGGTGAGGATGAAGGGTCTGCAGGAGAGGGAGGGGACAAGAGAGGGAGGCAGGGAGAGTAGATTTACAGTACATATCGATGAAATTATCAAAGTTTAAATTCAAAGTAATTTTAAAAGAAGGTGCATGTTTATTTTTTATGTGCAAAATGATATGGTCTAATGGAATAACTAAGTACAAACTTGCAAGCCCAGATTACTGTTGAATATTTGATAATTTTTCCAGCGAAGTCAGTCAACAATTGTTTCATTACTTTTTGTTTTTTAACTAAAATGTTCCTCTCATGTTTTCTTCCGTGGTTTAAACTGGATGAAGTAGATGCAGCTGTCCTCCAGCAATTATAGAACCAGAAATATTTTCTTAACAATATTCCTCCTGTTATTCCTAGACAATCGTCAGAGGGAATAAATCCTGCAAGGAAACCTCTATTAATGGCCTGCTAGAGGATTTCGACAACATCTCTGTGACTCGCTCCAATTCCCTAAGGAAAGAAAGCCCACCCACCCCTGATCAAGGAGCCGCTGGCCGTGTTCAAGGCCACTCCGAAGAAAATGGCTTCATCACCTTCTCACAGTATTCCAGTGAATCCGATACTACTGCCGACTACACAATGGAAAAGTACAGAGAGAGGAGTCTCTACGGAGACGACCTGGATCTCTACTACAAAGGCAGCCACGCAGCCAAGCAAAATGGGCATGTGATGAAGATGAAACATGGGGACGCCTACTACCCTGAGATGAAGCCTTTGAAAGCTGACCTTTCTAGATTCCCTGTCGACTATCACACACACTTGGACTCCCTGAGCAAACCAAGTGATTACGGTGACCTCAAGTGGGGTTATCAGCGAGCCTCTAGTAGCTCCCCTCTGGATTACTCATTCCAGCTGACGCCTTCTAGAACTGCAGGGACCAGCAGGTGCTCCAAGGAGAGTCTGGCTTACAGTGAAAGTGACTGGGGACCCAGCTTTGATGAGTATGACAGAAGGCCAAAGTCGTCATACCTGCATCAGACAAGCCCTCAGCCGGCCATGCGGCAGAGGTCCAAGTCAGGCTCAGGGCTTCAGGAACCCATGATGCCATTTGGAGCAAGTGCATTTAAAACTCATTCTCAAGGACACTCGTACAACTCCTACACCTACCCTCGCCTGTCCGAGCCCACAATGTGCATTCCAAAGGTAAGGTCTACTACTACGTCTTCTCCGCGAGTGACTGGCCCTACCGAGAAGGTTCTAGACGGCCAGAGTCTTGGAAGCTTGCTGCTTTTGCAGTGAGAATTCATTATCCAAATCCTACCTTATTTTCCCATGAGTCCCATAATCAAAGGCTTTACACCAAGGCCCATATGCCATTATAATCAAATTTTGTCTTTTGATATCTACTACAAGATTTCTGATTAAAACACAAGGAAAGTTATGTTTAGTTGAACAACTTTCTGATTTACTAACAATAAATGCAGTCTGATCACATTTACTAAGTCCTGTGTTGAGGATAAATAGTTGTAGGTCATTACAGGGAATGGAATAATATTCCCAATTCTTTAAAGTTCATGTGGATATATAAAAAAAGAAAAAGAGACCCTCAGTTTAAGGGGTAACCTTTCATATGAGTGCGCTCTTTTACTCATATTTTTGAGTTGTTAATAACACTTTTTGTATGAATATTTTCAGTAACAGATAGCATCTAATTCCTGAACTTTTATTAATTTTTTTTCATAGTGCTAGGAGTCAGTCATAGAGTCCCATGTGTGCTAGGCAGGCACTCGATCAGTGCCTGTGCATCATCCTATGCGCCCAAAGTACACTCTTTTAAATGAGGATGGTATAAATTTGCTTTGAAAAGTGGCATGTTCACCACATCCCACACTTTGGAGAAGACTGTGGTAGGAGTACTGATCCCTGGTTAAAATCGCACCATCTCCATAAGTATGTGAGACATTTAGCAAAAGCCCAGGAAGTGTACAAGTGCTTGATTTGTCCATGATAATGAGCAAATAACTTGGCACCTCGCCTAAAAACTAAAGCAGAAAAGGATTTGAGGATGGATTGTGGATCCCCTTGCATCCCCAGACAGTCTGAGTGGGACGTGAGGATTAGCAGAAACATCACCTACATCTGTAGCAAGGCTTTCTCCTCAGCAGCTTGTCTATTAGCATAAGCATTGCTGCTGGGACAGCCTGCCTGCAAACCTCTGCTTTATCAATTGCAGTCAGCTTCCTTTACATTATCTAAGATGTTAAAGAGAAGTTATTTGGGTAAACAGAAAGTGACTTAAGCTCCATCTTAGCTTCCAATATAAGAAATTAGAAGTGAATCCTAAGAAGAGAAGGCATGGAATAGATATCCCCAGATGGAATTTAAATGAGTATGTTTTTAATCTCATTCTGTTAAATGTATTTGAACAACCATGGCTAGGGTATCATAAATACTTTTGCTTCATTCTTCCCATAGCAATTGCTGGACCTAGGATTTACTCGCTAATAGCCAACAGCCAAACCCACATAGCACCTGTATATGTACCCTGATATTTGACATAGTTAGCACAGTTCCAACACAGATTGCTTTCTGTGAGTACCATGTAAAGGGAGCCGCCTCACAGTTGTAGAATAAAATATGCAAAGCAATACGTTGTAATGCTGAGTCAGGTCACATACTCAGAATTCAGTTAAAGAATGTTCTGGGCATGGAGTACAGGCCTATAATCTCAGTACTCAGTAAGCTGTAGCAGAAAGATCACAAGTTCATGACCAGCCTGGGCAATAGATTAAGTCTCAAGGCCTAGTGACCATCTCAAAATGAAGGGCTAAGATGTGACTGAGTAGCAGAGTGCATGGATACCCAGGCAGGGCCCTAGATTCAGTTCCCACACTACCAAGTCAATTTGTGGCACATCTGAATAAATAGGAAAGAGCTGGTTTGGGTCATAGTCTTTGGGAAAATGCTGTTGAAACATAGCACCTTTTAGTCCTGGGGTCATTTTTGACCCATTAACATAGTTAGTCCTTTTTTACTTATAAGTCTCAAATTATGAGACTGAAAGCTTCTCTTGAAAATTGACATGTTGGCTTGGTATCTCTGGATCCACCTTTTCATATAGGATTCAAAATGAACTGGCTAAAGATAAATCCTGCCCTCTCTAGAAGGGAGAAGGGCTCTGCAGTTTGGCTCAGGTCCTGTCTCATCTCCTTCACTCATCCCTAGAGATTTGGGGATTTAGCATCATCAGCAGGAAGCCTTGCCCACTCATTTCCCAGAAGAGAGTCCTGTGGTGTAGAGTCACATACCACACATAAAACTTCAATTAGTTGTCTACACACGAGGTCTAGGTTCAAGCCTGTCATTTCTCTCACTCTCTTTGCCATTATGCAGGCCTATGTTATTTTGGAGATTCAACTGAATATTTAAAATACATGATAAGCTTCAGGGTTCTCCAGAACTTTAAACTGAGAGGAGCAAGAAAGAAGAGGCAGAGCCAAAAATGGGTATTTGCTTTGTCCCTGCAGACTTAGAAAACAGACCTTCTGCACTGAATTCCAGCTTTTCTAAAGCCAAACCACTGTATCAGCAATTGTGGCTCAGGAAAAATACACAGGAGACTGTCGAGGTTTTTAACACTTTTAATCCAGGGTTCCAAGCTGCTGCTCCTGTATCCCCCAAAACCCATGAGAATTGACAAGCAGGTTTTGTGGGAGGGCAGGAGGCGGGAAGCATGTTGGTAATTAAAACGCTTACTTGATTAAAAATATAACATCTCTCTAAAAACAGTTAGGTGCCTCTGTCTTTAGAGCTGTACTCTGCAAAATCAGCCAATTGCATTTGGATTTCCAGCTGGGGCAAGAAATAGTTATCACGACTCAGATAATTTGGCTTTACCTCATGACAGTTTCTAGAGGCGGGCGGGTGATGTTCATATCAGAAGAAAAAGCACAAATCCCATGTAGCTAAAATGAGGAGGGTTATGTATGCGTATGTGTGACACAAGTTTGATATTTTGTCCTTTAACTTTCTAATTTTCATTCTAACTCAGAGTGAAGAAAAATGTAGACTAATAACAACAACCACAGGGGAAAAAAATCCACTCCACTTTTTTTGTTAACATAACAAGAATAGAAAATATAATAAAATCTGTTTGTACTAACGTTAATTCTCTACCTTAAAATCTTTACTGAAACTGAGCAGATGAAACCTTGAGGTGGGAAAGAATAGCCAAACAAAATATAGGACCATATTTACCACAGAACTACAAAAACCCGCAAGAAGAGAGAAAGAAAGCTTCCCACTCTCCCCAGAAAACATCTACCATACAGCAACCTGGTGGGAGACGCCGCCATCTTGGGTTTAACATTGCTCATTCGCTACTCTCCGGGGGTCAGGCAGATGGATACTGGCTCGTATGTCTTGGTGCCACCAGAATACCCTGGGGTTAAACCACTGAGAAATTCCTGACATAGTGACAAAATCAGGGTTTCCCCAGGCATTTGCTGTATGCCAGGTACTCATGTTGCTTACAGCAAGATTTCTTGCCCCCATTGTAAGTTAAGGAATACGGTCTGGAAGTCACATTAACAGCATGCTCATTTAGCTCTGTACCAACTGGAATCCGGCTCTCTAGTTTTAATCCCTAGGATGCATTCCCCATATTACATAGCTTCTGAGGGTACCAAGCCTGCAGTCAACCTATGTCAACTCTTTCTATAGTACTACTGTAATGATGTTGTATCAGAAATTATTTCGATATCTGGATTACATCATCCTCTTTTATTCAGAGGTGGGGTTTCTCAACCTTGACATGGCGGCTGTCTTACACCTGGTAATTGTTTTGCTGTGAGGGGTTGTTCTGGCATTGCAGAGCATATAACCGCATCCCTGGAGTCCTACTTGTTAGATGGTAAGAGTTCCTATTCCTCACTCGTAATAATAAAGTATCTGCAATAGCAAAACATATCACCCTTCACCATAGATAAGGCCATAGGAAATGAGCTCCAGAGGTGACTTCTACAACTGCCCTTGATCAAGCACTTTCGAGCAGTTACGGAGAGAGTTTAGGGAGATAAGCTGTTCAACTTTGATTCACTACACCCCCATTTACTAGCTGGGCGACTGCTTAACCATGGCTCCTTTTTAACTATAAAACAGAGATAAAGAAAATCCCTGCCTCAACATGTCAGCTGAGAGCTAAACAAGTTCATGTTAGGACAGCTTACTTACTTATACTTGTCAGTCTCCATATTTGACATACAGAGAGTGGCGATAATACGAGGGTCACTGTGTCCTAAGCGCAGTGAGAAGCCTTTTGCAGACACTGTCCAATTTAGTCCTTAAAAATCCAGAAGAATTCAGGCTCCTTTGGCAGTTGAGGAAGTTGAGGTTCTAGAAAGCTGTCTTTATGGGATTGTCCAGGGATATGAATGCAGTGGCTGAGCCAGGGTTCAAAACTACATCCCTCTGACTCGACAGTATATACTTCCAGAACATTCTTAACTTCCTAGAGGAATGCTGACGAGCAGAAAAGTGGATGTGAGGCTTTCCAGTCAGGTCACACACTGCTGGGTGCCCTCGCCTTGGGGGCAAGTTTGTGCATACAGAGGAAGTGCTCTGTGCCTTCTGTCCACGCTGTGCTCCAGATGTGCCTTCATTCAGAAATATGAATTGTGGGTGAATATTAAATCCACGAGCTGCAAAGAAAGACTTAGGTGGGTAGATCTATAATACTCTTTGATGAATTTATTCTACCTTGGGTGATTGTCTTTTTTGAGTTTCTTAAAAATAGCCAGATTTTTGTCACCCAATTTAGAAGCATTCAAAACCTGGATATTTATTTTCTGAATTTGAGCCCTTACATACTATATGAGCTTGTCTGTGTCTCAATTTCCTCATCTGTGGAGTGTTTTGGTACTTTGGGCTTGTGAGGAGAATTAAATAAGATTAATAAGCATCAAAGGGCTAGCACATGGCAAAGAGTAATCCTTCTTATTCCTGGGAATACGTCTGGTTAGAAAGTATGTTACCCTGTCTGGTAAAGCCAGTTGTAGGTGTTCTCTCTGTGTGTGATCTTTTGGATATTTTTAAACCATAATAACAAATTATATTATCCTACATAGTCCCTCTTTATGTAATTCCCATGGCTATGACTGTCTTCATTTGAAAATGTGACATAGAAGGTCAGTATAGTAGGATAA